CTTAGAGTGGGCTGGGATATTCCTCCTCCTGAGGCACTGACACCCAGAGAGGGGCCTCCCACCGCCTGCTGATGGTTTGCCCACCAGGACAGTGTATTCCACGGGACGCCCGCCTTCCCCTTTTAATTCACTTAAAGAGACAGTTAGAAAAAAAAAGAAGACTCTTGACAGGTTATAAAAAGCTGTCACACCTCCGTGTCTTGTCTCATCACATGCCAAGGGTGGGGCTCCCTGGGCTGGAATGGGTCCAGCACCAACCAGTATCTCTTAAGGAATTGACTCATGCAACTGACTCACTCATTTAGATACAGCTACAACTTCCCGTCTGCTTTTTTTTTTCTAGGAAAAGCACTCTGAACCCTCATCCCTTTAGCCCTACTTGTGCCTGCGGGAATGAGCTCAAGGAAGGCGCAGGCCAGCAGCCGTGAATCAGGTCCTAACTCATATGAGAGACACTGAGCTACAGAATAATAGTCACAGAGGGTTAAGGTCCTGTTTTCTCTCCTGCTCACCCACCTCCCCGCCGTGTCGCTCGCTGAGCAGCACCAACCCCCTCAGGGGAGGACAGTCACCATGTGCGACAGGAAGTTCGGATGTGGGATGTATCACTGATGCAAGGTCTCCAGCCCCCTTATGGGTCCATCAGCCACAGCGGCCACTTACTGACTCCCATTCGTATGTCGATTCACTCGTTTATTCTTTCATTCATTTATTCAAGTCCGAGCTTCCACCCCATGCCAGGTGCTGGTGCCAGGAGGAAAAACAGTCCCTTTCCTGAAGGAGTTCTCAGGATGTGACATCCATCACCCCAACCATTCCCTCTCCTGGGAGGAACGTGCCCAGCAGCCCTGCCATCCCACCACTGCCCAGAAGGTGGCAGCAGACAGGCCAGGAGAAGCTCGCAGGTGATCCTGCCCAGCAGGTAGGGGAGGGAGGTGGCTGCCAGTCACCTGGACAGGAAGTTCTGCCCTATTTTCTGGAAAGGGCCTACCACCCATCCGTTCAAGCAGGCAGATACCCAAACCTGGCCATGATCTTTGATACCCACTGTCCCAGCGTGGACTGGAAAGGACATTTGGTTACAAGTACTAGAAGGCCCCTGGTGTCAGGGAGGAAATATAATTTCTCCTCGACCCTCATAAATTCGTAGTTAGGACAGGCCTCTGTAACAAAAGAGAGGTTAACAAGAGGAAAACAAGCAAGTGTATCGATGTGTGCGGTGACATCGCACAGGAGAACCCGCAGTGAAAGGTAACTCAAAGTGGCGGCTTAGAACTATGCCGTCCGGAGCACCTTCAGCAAAGAACAATGCATTTTAGAGAAGTGACAACACAAAGGAAAGCAGGTTTAGGCTTCCAAAGGCCAGAAACTCTGGGAAGGTAAATACATGGAAGTTAACGGAGGAAGGTTGGTTCTAGATTCCTTTGGTGCCGTCTCTGAGCTAAGAGTTGTCTCCAGGAGAGAATAATTTCTATCCTGTCTCTAGGCAGAGAGCAGGGAGTTTATAAGCGCTCTTCCTTCCTCTGTTTGCTGCTGCTTAATTGCCTTAGCTGAAAAATATTTATGGCAAAGAGGCGTAATTTGGGGTGAAATATTCTGGTTTCCTTCACTGGTAAAGCCAGGATGCAGGCAAGCCGAGGCCAGGAATGCAGCAGGACTAGGGAAGGGGCTGGAACCAGGTTTGTCACTTTTCATCTCAGCATCTCACGTGGCAGCCCCTTTCTTGTCTATTCTGCAGACTGGACTTTCCTGTTCCTCAGGGTGGGAAATGTGGCCGTAGCAGTGGTAGCAGCGTGGAGCGTACCTGTCCCCAGCCCAGCCAGCCAGGAAGACTTCTGAATTCCAGGGAAAGGGACTTGTTGGATCAGCTCGGCCTGGGTCTAGCCCCTACCTTGGGACCAGTAAATGGTAACAACTGCAGACACAATGCTAGACAGTCACCATGGGGCCCTGGAGAGTTGTGGAAAGCTGGGAGACCTTCCCACACAGAGAGCTACTGGAACGAATTTGCAAGGCCAGGCATACAGGTGCTGTTCAGTATCCTTCCACGGACCACGGCTGCCATTGGGTACGCTGCCAGGGCGGTGAGCACACGACTCCAGCTTTGCTGTGACAGGCGATCCTCGTCGGAGACCCTACCCCAGCCCACAGCACTCACCTCTCTGTGCACTCAGCTTGATGGTTTCCACCCGCAAGTACCTGCGACTCTGCCTCAGGGAGCAGCCTCTACACAGGACTGATGGGAGGTCGTGGCTAGACTGCCCGGCTCCTGCCCCTGGCAGGGGGAACAGATCTGAAGTGTGTCCCGCACGGACTTCCAAGGCTCCTCCAGCAGGGACCTGTTTCGTCACGCACCTTGCCTTCCCTGTCTTGCTGCCCCACTCCCCACCAGCTCACCTGGAATCACTGTACTGCTTTATACCCCCACACCGCCGCGTCTGCTGCTGGGGACCCACCCCAAGACCCCTGTAGTTTTAACAGCTAGGTTTCCCAAATGCCTAGTGAGCAGCCTTTGAAAGACAAGAGCATACACTTTTCCATTCAGTCACTTTTTTCTCCAAAAATAGAGCTCTTTATTTAAACAGTTTATAGTAAACGCCAACAAGCATGAGGATAGTATTCAAACATGATATAAACGTAGAACAATATTAGAAATAAATACAAATATGTAAGAACAACATACAAGCTTCTCAGTACTCTAAAGCATTTACATGTTGTTTTAACCTGAGACACGACTCACTTTTCACCGGATGTGCTTCCAGTGCGGGCCCAGCCCACACTACGCGGTTGCCACCCGGCGTGTGCGTGGAAGGGCTTTGTAAACAGTTAAGTGCTGAGCACGCCAGACAAATTATTATATTGATTATCATGCCCTTTCCCAACACTTCCCTAATGTTTCATTGTTCGTTAAACTTTGAAAAACATTCAAAGTCGACAAAAATAACAAAGTTTAAGATTAGAAATAAAGCGGTGATTTCATACAAGCCTAAGGCAACAGTGATGATAGCTTTTACTTTTTTGAAATTACCTCCACGAAGCAGCTCAGCTGAGTCCCAGAAAGAACATCAGCCTCGGACTGGCCCTAAGCCACAGGCTTCCCCAGATCCACGGTTTCAGTTTTTCTTCCTCTTCTGGGCTCAAGGGTGGGGACAAGCATTGCAGGGAAACCCCCTGGGGAGACGTGCCCATCTGTGTGTGTGTGTGTGTGTGCGTGTGTGCACGCGTGTGTATGCACGAGTGCACACATGCCTCAGCAGCGCTGAAGGCCTCCTGCCAGCTTAGTGACCCTCGGAAACCCTGGCTGAGATCTTCATACTTTGTTGACATGGCCAAGAGGTCAGGGCTTGGCCTGGCTGGGCAGAGACCAAAGACCTCACCCTTGAGGACACACACAATAAGTCATTAGGGCATTGCTGGGCGACCTGGGGCAAGTGTCTTTGCCACTCTGGACCTCAGCTGCTTCATTTGAAACAAGATCGGCATTCAATTAAAAAAGTGGTTTGCTAACTTTTTCTTTAGCAGCGGAACCCTAAACAACCTCAGCGCAAGGCCACTGTATGTAATCAGGGCACAGTGAGGCTGCTCTGGTTGGAGTGGGGGGTCCTGGAGCCCCGCGGTTCCCCCTGCAACTGAAACCCACGGCCTATTGGGCACATGGTTTGAGAACCCCTGGACCAGATGCCTTAAGACGCTTTTCCAGATCTGTCATTTAATGCCATATCCTCACGGTGTCCTCAAAACAACACAGCTCTGTGGGTAAAATGGCTAAGAAGATCCTTTCTTTACAAATGGAGAAACGTAAGTCCTGGCAGGTCAAATGGCCACAGAACAAACAAACATCTCAGTCCTATGGGTGAAAACTCAGCTATGCTCATCCATATACAGGTGGGTGTAGGTTAACTGAGGACGCATCACCACCCCGAGGTAAGGACAGTCACCTGTATCCACAAGACACTGGTTCCTCGTAACTAGAAGGGGTGGGACTTCTTCCCAACCACAGAGGTCAACTGCAGAGTGTAAAGTGCTGCCCAAAACAGGACTGCAGGCCCAGAAGTCCACTCCCTGCCCACCCCAACAAATCAGGCCCCTGGAAGGTGGACCGCTTGGTTCCTTCCTTGGGAAGCACTTTCCCACGGCTGGGTAAAGGGAGAGGGATCCTGGTTCCCCTCGGCTGGGGCTCAGGCTTCTGAGAGCTCGGTCTCCTGATAGGAGGAGGACAGGGAGGTGGGGAGACCACAGGTGAGACGAGTTGAAAGGCGACTGCTCCCAGTCGCTGTGGGTTCAGGGGTCACAGGTAAGAGATGCCTGGGGTCTTCTTAGAGCCTGGATGGATGGAGAATTCTACCAGCCACCACGAAGAGAGCACCAATGACCTGGCAGGCCCATGCTGCACACACCTGGGATCTCCCTGAACCCTCACCGCACCCCAAGCGGTAGCTGCAGATGAGGAAACTGAGGTACAGAGAAGGAAGGCAGCTTGCCCAAGATCACACAGCTGGTAAATGGCAGAGCTGGGATTTGAACCCAGGTCTGTCTGATGTTAAATACCGTGCAATGCTGTGACTCCAAAGACCAGGATTTGAATGACAACTGCCCCTTCCCTTCCCCTCCAACACCCTTGGCCAACCCGATTTTTCTTTATCGGGGCCCACCCTCAGGGACCCATCAACCAGGAGGCTGAGACCTGGGGCGGAGGCGGCTCGGCCATGCTGGGGAAGGCACGAGGCTCCGATATATCAGATGTGCCTGCAGCGGGATCAGCCTCCCCGAATTCCAGATGGCGCCGTGGCGGTGTCCGCCCTCGATGTCCGCAGTGACCTGACCTCACCTATTTCACATTGCCCAGGGATGATTTTTCCACCTGGCCTCCACCCCAGGGACAGTGGGGTGATATGACCCACTGTGACCCAACCAACCTCTGACCTCAGCCCACCCTGTCTTTACCCTCCTTAGAGTTCAGCCTAAAGCGGGTGGGTCATAGGAAGGGGTGGCATCTTGCTGCCAGACCCGACTGACAAACAGCCTCTAGGTGGGGGTCCTTGAAGTGCCACGGTGACCCTCTGCTGCCTCGGGAACGTGCGTATGCTCTCGAGTTTCAGTGGTGTCTTCTCTGGTCCTTGGGAAGCCCAGTAGCTGTGACGGCAGCACCAGACTTGGTGGGAAGCTGGGGACAGCTCACCTGGCCATGTAGTGGCCCAGCATCCTTTCCTTGGTCCTCAGAGTGCTCTCAGCCCCCCAGGTGCCAGCACCGCCGTCATCAATCTCTGATTCCCTCCTGCGCTCGTCATCTTCCTCCTCCTCCTCCTCCTCTTCCTCCTCCTCTTTCTCCTCAGGGCTGCTGTCCCAGCAGAAGGTCAGTGTCCGCAGAGAAACTAGGGGATCCCCAGGGACCAGATCCAGCCCTGGTGATGAGGAGCCCCAGGCGGCCCAGGGGGAGAGGGCATCTTCTGGGAGCTCTTCCAGGAAGCCCGAGTCCCCGGAGAATTCAGGTGGTGGCAGGGGCTCCCCATGCCCGTCTTGTCCCGGCCCTTGGTCTGGCCCGTTCTTGGCCAAGCAGCCAGAGGACCCAGGCTCGTCCCAGGGGGAGGAGTCCACGGTGCTGGCCCAGCTTCGGTCTGAAGAGTCCCCAGTAGAGGAGCCTTCGCCCTGGACCAGAGGAGCCCAGGGCCTCCCTGAGTCCAGCCGCTCTGCCTCCTCGGGGCGCCCTGGCACCCAGTGCCCTTGCTCCAGGAAAGGGGGAGGCTTGATGTAGGGCTGGAGACTGACGCCATCCTCCGCATCCTCCGCATCCTCCTCCTCATCCTCAGCACCGTCCTTCTCTGATCCTGCCTGTAAGGTAGCCGGGGCCGTGACTCTAGGGGTCAGCCTGACCCTTCCAGCCAGTTCCTTCTGCGGACAGAGGATCAAGTCATCCAGGGACTCTGGTCCACTGGGCTGAAAGGCTGCCGCGGGGTGTCTGTGTCCAGAAAAGTCCTGATTTGGGGCAGGGAGAGAAGAGCCGACAACTCAGGCTTCCTGAGCACAATTGTTACTGTTCCCCTAGAAACAGACCTGAGACAAGGGCTCGAGTATAAGCAGTTTTTTTAGGGGTGAGCCCAGGATGCACCAGGAAGGGGTGTGGGGAGCAGCCACTGAGGGGGTATCAGGCACCCAGCAGCTGCCACTGAATCCTGCTGGGGACTCAGGCGCCACTGGAGCCCGCGCATCTCAGAGCCATCCCCCGAGGGGAGAGGCGCCAGGGGCATCTAGCCACAGCTCCCGCCAGCCACTGTTGGGGGAGGTAGGAGCTGGTGGCGTGCTAATTCCCTGACGCGTGAGCCCGCCACGTGCCCAGGCAGAGTGGGCTCTAGAGGCCAGACAGAGCCCCCAGGGTTTGGGCGCTGCGTGTGGGACATCCGGCTGGGTGCACCTTAATGGGAAGGCTGAGGGGCAGAGCAGGGCACAGACGTGTCTACCCGAGGTCGTCATCTGACAATTAGTGGGGTTCCCTCAAGGTCCTTTTTTTTTTTTTTTTTTTTGAGACAGAGTCTCACTCTGTTGCCCGGGCTAGAGTGCCGTGGTGTCATCCTCGCTAACAGCAACCTCAAACTCCTGGGCTCAAGCGATCCTCCTGCCTCAGCCTCCCGAGTAGGTGGGACTGGACTATAGGCATGTGCCACCATGCCCGGCTAATTTTTTCTATATATTTTTAGTTGTCCAGCTAATTTCTTTCTATTTTTTTTAGTAGAGACGGGGGTCTCGCTCTTGCTCAGGCTGGTCTTGAACTCCTGAGCTCAAACGATCTGCCCACCTTGGCCTCCCTGAGTGCTAGGATTACAGGCGTGAGCCACTGCACCTGGCCCCTCACAGGTCTTGGAGCCAGGAATTTTGAAAATGCTCCCCCTGCCACCCTGTCACAATACAGGGACACTCAAAACCATCCTCAAAGCCTCTGCACCCGTCAGGGTGTCCACTGAGCCTTGCCTATGGCCGAGGTTCACTGACCCGCCCGCATCTGAACAAGGCTACCACCGACCTCCCGGCCGCCCCAGCTGGCCCCCAGATCCTAAGCGAGGAAGTTCCAAGGTCAGCCTGGGCAAGGCTCATCCTCAGTTAAGCTGTTAGCTGGGACCCTTCTAAGACGTCCCTCTTGGTGCTGCCCTTCCCCCTCCCCTCAGCACCTGACGGATCCTTAGCAGAGGTGAAGCCATTTAAGGCTCCCCTTCCTCCCGGGCATATTTGCTATTTTATTTGGTGCTAAACAAATGCACGAACGGTGGAAGCTCAGACACGGAGTCAGGAGACATTCCGCAGTCTGCACCATGTTGATGCTCTGTGTGAACCATTCCTCACCCCACCCACTCCCTTCTCCCAGCTCCCCTCCCCGCCAGCAGGACACCCCAGATTTGCCATACCAGAGCCTGTGGCATCTTTGCCTGCTGAAACCAGGGGTCCCCTGTGAGGCTCTTCCAGATGACACCCCCTGTGGCAATTACTAGCAGCAGGGGCAGAAGTGACGGCAGGACAAGGAATGCCCAGCTGGCTCCTGAGGAGGGAAAAATAGTAGTAACTACAGAAGCAGCGGCGGCTCCTGTCTACCAAGCGAGCACTTGCTAAGCGCTTCACATACACTGCCGGGTTAATCCTCCTAAGAATGAACCCATCCTACAGACTGTGGAGATCAAGATTCAGAGAGGTTATGTAAGCTGCCCGGAGATGCACAGTGAGCTACGGTTTTAATCCGGGTGTCTATCTCTAGACTCGTGCTCTTCACCGCCACACCCCGCAGCTGCTGAGGCCTGGGGGAAAGTCCCCACTTCTGCACCCCTTTGCACACACCTGGGGCCCCCAGGAAGAAGCAGGTGGGCTTAGAGAACTCGCTGTATTTGGGGACAGTGAGGGTGTAGATGGTTCTGGCACTGAGGCAGTGGCGTTCGCTGGTGGCTGGCTGGAGGGGAATCTGGACTGGCTGGCCGTGGGGGGTGGCTGGGAATAGAGTCTGTTTGGAGAGAGAAGCAGAGATGAGAGGGCTGCGGTGGGGACTGGTTCTGCACAGCCAGGACAGGGCGGGGGCGGCAGGCCGGGTAGGGTTGTGATTCCCGAACCTTCTTTTCTTTCCTACATTCAAATTCAAATGTTAAGGGAACACCTCCCAACACCACCTGATTTCTTTTCAGCTGAAAAGGCCAGGCATGGCCAGGGTTCGAAGCAGCCCAACACTTGGAGTCACTCCCGTGTGTGCCCCACTGTGACCCGCAGGTCCCCACGTTGAGGAACAGATTCTTCTGTCCTCCCAGTCTATTGGGGTTGGGGGTCATTCAGCCACCAGAGGCACAGAAAACCCTGCAGCTGCTGTCCCTTTCAGTACACATGGGCCACATGTGGCCCTGAGCACATGGGATGTGGCTCGTCCAAAGTGAGACGTGCTCTAAGTATAAAACACATATCAGATTTCAAAGATGCAATAAAAAATGTAAAATATCTCAATAACTTTTATCTTAATTATATGTTGAAATGATAACATTATATTTGATGAAATAAAATCTGTTATTAAAATTAAATTCACCTGTCTCTTTTTTACTTAATTTAATGTACAGTATTTAAAATTGCATATGGGCTGGGTGCAGTGGCTCATGCCTGTCATCCTAGCACTTTGGGAGGTCGAGGAGGGAGGATCACTTGAGGCCAGGAGTTCCAGACCGGCCTGGGCAATATAGCAAGACCCCCATTTCTAGAAAAGAAAAAAACTAAAAAATTAGCTGCGTGTGGTGGCACATGCCTGGGGTCCCAGCTACTGGGACCTCCTGAGGCAGGAGGATCACTTGAGCCCAGGTGTTCAAGGTTGCAGGGAGTTTGATCATAGCACTGCACTCCAGCCTGGGTGAGAAAGAGAGACTCTGTCTCAAAAAATAAGTAAGATAAAATAGCATATGTGTCTTACATTATATTTCTATTGGACAGTGCTGGTCTAGAATATTTGTGAGGTTCTTAAAGGCAGGCATCACACTGGATTCAGATCTATACCTCCAGGATCCAGAGTACCCAGGAACCTGGGAGTGCGAATGTTGGTTTAGTCACCCGGAAGCGAGAATGAGTAAGAGCTGGGGTCAGTAACCTGCACCCGTGGGCCAAATCTGACCTGCCACCTGTTTTCATACACAGCTTTACTGGAACTCAGTGATGCACATCTGTAAACATACTGGCTATGGCTCCTTTTGTGCTACGACTGCAGAGTTGAGTTGTCCTGAGCGACTGTAAACCCATTGCACAAAGCCCGAAATATCTACTATCTGGCCCTTTACAGAAAAAGTTTACCAATCCTCGCCATAGATAAATGAATACAGATGCACACACATGCACACGTAGGAAACGAGTGTGAAAGCGGATGCACGCCAGAGTCATTCGTGGTCGTCTCTGGGTCCCTTTGGTTTGCTTCTTAGAGCTTATCTATATTTCCTGGCTTTTCTGTACCAAACCTGGTGACTAGCTTGGCAGGTAGGCCTTTTGGAGCTCATCATACTTTAATCAGATCTTATTAGGAAAAAAAGGGGAGGTTCATAATTTAAAAAAAAGATCAGGTAGAAAACTGCCGTGCTGTTGGCCCCTGCACTGGGCAGAGGCAGGACGCCCTCCCTGCACTTGGTCTCTTCGGTAGACAAGGTGGGTGGGCCACTGGCCGGGGGCTGACTGCCAGAGTCAGGGGTGTATGGGGAAGGTTTCCCGGAGGGAGCATGCGGGGGCAGGCTGGGGGGGTTAGGGGCACCAGGGTTTGGTGGGGCGGGGCGTGGAGGAGCCCACCTTAGGGGCAGGAAATGAGCTTCCCACCTTGTTTCCGGACCCCTCCTTCCAGAATGCCACCTCGTAGCTCAGATCTGGTGGGGGCATGCAGGAGGGCAGCTGGTACGTGGCATTGGCACTCAGGATGTCCTCTGTCAGGTTGAGCACCAGGACGGGCGGCGCCGGCTCCACTGCAGAAACAGAAACAGAGCAGGACCTTTCAGGGCCTCTGCCTCCATCCGGGCCAGAGAGCTTTCCCGAAAAGGGAAGAGGGACACTAGCACGTGTCAATCACCCCCTACACATCAGCGTTTACAGCCCTGTGAGCCTTGCACTGACCCTGGGAGGGAGATATCATGATTCCCAATTTATAGAAGGGAAAACTGAGGCTTAGAAAGCTGAAATGACCTGGCTCAGCTCACAGCTGACCTGCCTTTATTCTTGCCATCCCTTCTACCTGGGTGCCCTCCACACGTCTCTGGCCTGGTAGAATCCTGCCCACCTGAACTAGTTTCCTATTGCTGCCACAGCATGTCACCCCAAATGCCGTGGGCTTCAAACAACGCAAACTCATTCTCTCACTGTTCTATACATCAGAAGTCGGGGTGGGCTCAGCTGTCTTCTCTGCTCTGGGTCTCACACTTGGAGCACTAGGGGTGAGGGGGAGACACTTCCAAGCTCCTCCCCGCTGGAAGGAGCAGCACTCAGTTTGCTGTGGTTGTGGGGCTGGGGTGCCTGTCTCCTGGCTGGTTGTTCGTGGGAGCCTCTCGCAGCCCCTGAAGGCCTCTGCACTTCTCATCACGTTGCCCCTCCATCTTCCAACCAGAAATGGCACAAATCTTTACATGTCAGATCTTTCTGACTTCTCCTTCTGCTACGTCTCTTGTGCCTCCAGATGGAGAAAGTTCTCTGCTTTTAAGGGCTCACGGGATTAGACTGGAGCCATCTGGGTAATCCAGGATAATCTCACTATTTTCAGGTCTGTGTCTCAGTCTGTTTTCTGCTGCTGTAACAGAGTACCACAGACTGGGTAATTTACAACGAACAGAAATTTACTCGGCTCACAGTTCTGGGGCCCAGAAGTCCAAGAGCATGGTGCCTGCTCTCATGATAACAAACCCACTCCCAAGATAAGGACATTAATCCAACATGAGGGCAGAGCCCCTACAGCCTAATCACCTCTTATTAATAACAATCCCACCTCTTAATATCATCATGAAGTGGAAAATTCCACTGACAAGTCTCCACCCCTGCTACCTCCCCTAACAGCTGTCACTCTTGCCTCTGTAAACTGCTTGCAGGCGCCAAGGTGGCTCAAGACCCTGCCCCCGCTAAAGATAACCTCATTGTAACTGTGCCCCACTTCCTCCCTAAGCAAAATGTATATAAGACTGCTACTTCCTTTGTTCCGGGCTCAGAATTTGGGAGAGGAAAATCCCCTCTGGGAGCCGGTATAGTAAAAGCTGTTTTGGTATACTTCAGTGTGCCTCTCTGTTTGTTTCCGGTCAACTCTGCCGTAACAATCACAATGGCAATTAAATTTCAACACGAGTTTTGGAGGAGACTTTCAAACCATAGCAATCCATAACCTTAGTTAAAATTCCTTTTGTCATGCAATACGAACATCACAAACAACACAAACTCAACACAAAGGAACAGCTAACATATTCACAGGTTCCAGGGATTAGGGCACAACATCTTTGGAGAGTCATTCTGCCTACTGGTCCTCCCTCTGTTTCCCCAAAATTCATGTCCCTTTCAAATGCAAAATGCATTCATCCCAAACCTATCCCAAACCATGCCTCATGCATAGCTTCTACTTACCCTCCGGAAGCTGATCTGCCTTATGTTCCATCTCCTTAGGGTCCTACCTTCTGCTAATGTGATGATACCAGACAATGCATTTGCATTTGAACAAGACTGGCTCCTAAATAAAATGCTCCCTTAGTCCCATGCTTAGGACTTTTGCCTGGGTTAACATTCTGTGAAATGTGACTGTGGAAAAGAGATATCCCAAGGCCACGCAAGGTCTCATCTCATCACAGCATCAACTCAAATTCCAAAATCTTATCATCAACAATATCTAAATGAGAATCAGATGAGACTCTGGCTATAATCCAATCAGCACAACTCCTGGGGCACAATTTCTCTCCATCTTCGGGCCAATAAAACAAAAGAACAAGTTATTGGTTCCCAACGTATGATACGATGGCGGGACAGGCACTGGCTCACAGTTACAGATAATCTGGTTCAAACATGGGGAAAAAGAAGGTAAAATGGAGTAATGATCCACAGCAGTTTTAAAATCCAGCCAAGAAAACTCCGTGAGGTTTCAAGACCTGGGAGTAATTCTTCTTGGTTCTCAGCACTGCCCTTTGAGCTCCTGATTCCATCCTCTGAGTTATCCTTCCCCTTTCACTAAAGGCAGCAGGTATTAACAGCTAAGTAGTTATATCAGCTGCATCCCACCAGTAGAAACTGGGAGTCCAACAGCCTTCTTTGATTTCAAACTGTCTGTTGCTTTTAGTTCAAGCTGGCAGTGTTTCTGCAGATATCAAGTTCTCAAGAACTTCCTGGGTCTCCTGTGGATGTCATGGGATCCATTCCATTAGACAAAGGCCAGGTCCACAAATCTTTTCTGAGTTAAGTCCTTTCCTACTTGTGGCTTTAGCTGAGACAGCTGAGGGAGGGGATGCTTTTCAGCTTCCTAGAGGTCCCCTGGGTCGACTGAGGGGCCCTGTGAGTCACACCTTTAACCTCTTTAAAGAGTCTTTTGAATACTTTAATCTTTTGATCCTTCTGGGGTTTCAGTAAAAGATGGTACAGTCACACACTTAGCCGTGTCTCTGTCACACTTTTGGAAGCAATCTCTTCATTTTAAGGTCTTTTGCCACCTGGATAGGTTGAGAATTTCCCAAATCGTCAAGTTCTGGTTCCTTTTTATTTAAGTTCTTCTCTCAGTTTCTCTCCTTTGTATTTTACTATGAGCAGCAGGAAGAAACCAGGCCACACCTTCAACACTTTACTTGGAAATCTCAGATAAATATTCAAATTCATTATTTACAAGTTCTGCTTCCTACATGCCTGCAGGACGTAATTCTGCTAAGCTTTCTGCCAGTGTGTAACAAGGATACCCCTTTCTCCGGATTTCAGTAACATCAGTAACACGTTCCTCGTTCCTCGCCTTGTGAAGCGGGGTCTTTAACGTGCAGATTTCTACTGACAGTCCGTTGAAGGCCATCTAGGCTTGCCCAACAGTTTGAAGATGGAGGGGACAATGTGACAAGGAATATGGTAGCCAGAGGAAACTAAGAGTCCATCTTTCAAGTTCCAGCCGAAATACCACTTCTTCCATGCAGCTTTCCTAGATTCCCAGTCAGCAGGGATCTCTGCCTGCACTGGTCATCTTACCCTGTGTTTGTGCTCGGGGTGGACATGTGGCTGCTCCGTGATGCCACCACTTACATGTTCAGGAAACACCTGGTGGGTACTGACTATGTGTCAAGCCTGGGAAGGGAGCCGAGGGTAATGGGGACACAAGGCCTCCTTGGATCCTGACGCCCAGGAGCTGCCAGTTTAGGAAGAAGTGAAATATGCAAACTACCAAAACCCAAGAAAGAAAGTGACCAGGGCCATGCATGAGAGCGGGAAAAGTGTGGAGGGAGTATAGAGTCAGGAAGGACCATTCTGGCTTGAGATGTGCTGCCAGAGAATCAGGAGAAATTAACATTTTTTAAAAATTTAATCTCCCCCTTGTGTCTTTCCTGTTATTCTTCTAATCTTTTACTCCTGTCCATCCAACCACTGCAGTGGGTCATCCACCATTCTTCTAGCCAGACGGCCCTCCTTCCCTCCCATCCTTCCTTTCTTTCTTCCCAATCATCCTTTTTTCTAACCAACATTCCTTCCTTCCCACCCATCTTTTGTTCTAACTAATTTATACTTCCTTCCTTTTATCTAGCCAGTCAGCCTTTTCTACTCATCCCTCCTTCCCATCCATCCATTCTTCTTTCCTTTCCTGTCCTCCTACATACCCTTCCTTCTTTTTCTCCTTCCTTCCTTCTTCACTTCTCCTTCGCTCCTGCCCTTCCTCCCCTTCCTAGATGTCCAGCTTTTCTTCTATACTGTCTGCCCACTGATCACCCACCTGCCTTTCCTGCTGGGATGGTGAATTTCATGTGTCAACTTGACTGGGCTAAGGGATGCCCAGATAGCTGGTAAGACATTATTTCTGGGTGTGTCTGGGAGGGTGTTTCCAAAAGAGATTGGCATTTGAATCAGTAGACTGAGCAGACAAGATCTGCCCTCACCAATGTGGGTGGGCATCATGCAATCTGCTAAGACCCCAAACAGAACAAAAAGACAAAGGAATGGCAAATATGTTGTTTCTCTTCTTAAGCTGGGACATCATCTTCTCCCGACTCAGACATTGGAATTTCTTGTTCTTGGGTGTTTGGACTCTGGGACTTATACCAGTGGCCCCTCCAGTTCTCAGGCCTTTGGCCTCAGCCTGGGAGTGACACTATTGGCTCCCCTGGCTCTCAGGCCTTCGGACGTGGACTGATCTACACCACCAGCTTTCCTGGTTCTCCAGTTTGCCAACCACATATTGTAGAACTTTTTGGCCTCTGTAATCACATGAGCCAATTCTCATAATAAATCTCCTCTTATTAATATTATATCTCTATATATCCTCTTGGTTCTGTTTCTCTGGAGATTCTTGATGAACACACCTTCCTATCCTCCATCTCTGGTTGTTTCCTTCCTCATAGCCCCCCATCACCTCCTCCTTCCTCTTCATACTTGCTCTCTTCTTATCCCCCATCCTTTTCCTCCTTCTATCCATCCACCTAGCCAGCTTCTTCCCATCTGAGTCATCTCTTCCTCCTTATCTACCATCTTCTGCCATTCTTCATTCATTGCTCCCTCCCCTCTCTTTAAGTCCGAATTTTGCCCTCAAACATTTTGAGAAGTCAGGGCAGCACTGCGCCCTGCGAGGACACTGTCTGGGCACCTATCCTCTCCCTGTCGCCACCGTCCCTCACTCTTGAGTCTGGCCCAGGGCCTTGCCCAAGGTCAGAAAGATCCAAATTCACCTCTGATATCCAGCAGTACAGTGTATCCCAGCAAGCTACTTAGCTTCCACGAGTCTTGCTTTAGTTTTTAAAATGGGTTGATGAAAATGAATTTCACAAGTTTGCTGTGAGGATTAGAAATAAAATATATTGTCCTTACCCAAAGTTAACACTCATGATTTTGGTGCTAAGCATGGGGGATTTTTTCCCTCTCTTTTTCTTCTTTACCTGCAACATTTCTACCATGTACAGAAAATACTTTTGCAACCAGAATATTTTTTTTTAATGTTTCTTAAAGAGAGAAGTTGAACATAAAAAAAAAAATAGGAGTAAGTATATAATGTGCCTTGTGTAGTCCATGACCTAAGTGGTGTTCAAAAGAGGATAATGGGCATCATTAGCAGGAGGTACGAGCTGAATTGCTGGCACGGGCTGGGCCTCCCCCAACTCCCTGACAGGTTATTGCTGGTCCCTGCCCCATCTCACCAGGGCTGGCCCCAGGGCTGGGGCCTGGCATTAGCTGCCCCGAGAGCTGTCCTCTGCTTTGGGGAAGTGGCAGACGGGGGATCAACACAGCAGCACCCCTGGACGGGATGGAGAGCCGAGCCCCCCACTCAGTCCCTTCCCCACAGACCTACCTTCGAAAAGGTAATCCAGGTACTCGGACTCCACCCAGGGGGACCTGGCCCGGGGAGAGGCTGCCCGCACACGCCCCTTGAACTTGTTGTACAGGTCCTGTTTCTTCAGGCACATCATGGGACACACCAGCTCCTTGGTTCCAGCACACTTTTCCACTTTTCGCCACCGTCTGGGGGTGGGAGAGCTGGGGGAGGAGACAAAAGAGCTTGGGCCATGGGCTCAGCCTCTCGGGGTTGGGGGATTTGGAGAACGGTGATTGCTCGTCCCCCTGTTCAGCCTGACAGCCCGTCGGTCTGTCCACCCAGACAGGCAGCCACTGGCTGAGACAGAACAGGAACAGCCTGGACAGCAGCTCAGGTCCTGGAGCCAGACAGGTGGGGCAGGGAGTCCCAGCTCTGCCCCTCACTGGCTCTGGGACCACAGGCAGGCCCCTGCCCACGCCTCCGCCCCTCATCTGTCACGCCCCTCTCGCGGGGCTGCTCTGGTGGCCGTTACTGCTAGCACCTGCTGCATGCCAAGCCCCGCGCTGGGTGCTGTGTGGATGTCAGAGAGGAACATGCAGGTCCATGGACCTACCCTGCTGAGAACGCCAAGGTCAGGCACCCTGGGCATTATCCTGGGCACTGGTGAGTTGGCAAAGCATGACAGAGGAGGTCCTGCCCCTCAGGAACTTATATCTGATGGGAGGCGGACAAGAGACACTAATCACGTCAGCAAGGTGAATCCAGGAGCTGGTAGTGCAGTGATAAAATAGGGTAACACAGGGGCGACTGCTTTCAAAGGGCCCTTCCACCGCGTGAGGGTGCGGCGGGGAGAAGGCGCCATCTTGGAAGCAGAGAGCAGCCCTCACAGTGCAGACACTGACAAAGGACCCGTGTCCAAAGCAGATACAGGACTCTTACAGGGCAATAAGAAGACAAACCATCCAATAAAAATGGGGAAAATATCTGAATAGTTGCTTCACAAAAGAAGATACAGGAATGGCCAATAAGCACAGGCAAAGATGTTCAACTTCATCAGTCATCAGGGAAAGGTAAAGCGAAGCCATGATAAATTACGACTGCACACTCACTGGAATGGTTAGAACAAAAACGTCTGAGCAGACCAGCACTGGCAAGCGTGCAGCGTAACTGGAACTCTCATATATTGTCGGTGGAAATGAACCTTGGTACACTTTGGAATACAGCGTGACAGTTGCTTGTAATGTTACACATTCAGTTACCAAATCTCCTAGATTCTACTCCTAAATCTTTAACCAAGAGAAATGAAAACATATGTCTACACAAAGGCTTGTCCATGAATGTTCTTGGCAGCTTAATTCATCTGAGCTCTGTTATGGACTGAACTGAGTTCCCCTAAAATTCATATGTTGAAGTCCTAACCCTCAATATGACTATATTTGAAGATTAAGGACTTTGAAGAGGAAATTAAGGTTAAATGAAGTCACAAGAGTGGGGCCCTAATCCAGCAGTACTGGTGTCCTTATCAGAAGGGGAAGAGGCACCAGGAGTGGACACATACAGAGAAAAGGCCACGTGGGGACAGAGCAAGAAGGCGACCATCTGCAAGCCAGGGAGAGAGCTTCAGGAGAAACTAAACCTGCCCACACCCTGGCCTTGGACTTCCAACCTCCAGAACTGTGAGAAAGTAAATTTCTGTTGTCTAAGCCACCCAGTCCGTGGTACTTTGTTATGGCAACTCTATGAAACTGATGCAGATTTTGGTATTAGAAGTGAGGTGCTAATGTCACAGATACCTAAGAATGTGGAAGTGGCTTTGGAATGGGGTAACAGGCAGAGGTGGGAAGTGTTCTGAGATGCATGTTAGAAAAAGCCTCAATTGCCTTAAAGAGACTTTTGGTAGGAATATAGACATTAAAGGTGACTCTGGTGACGTCTCAGATGGGAAGGAGGAACATGTTATCAGACACTGGAGGAAAGGGGATCCTCGTTATAAAGCAGCAAAAAACTTGGCTGAGTTGTGTTCTAGTGTTCTGTGGAAAGTAGAGGTTAAAAGAGATGAACTTGAATTTTTAGCTGAAAAGATTTCTAAGCGAAGTGTCAAAGATGAAGACTGGTTTCTCTGTACTGCTTATAATAAAATGCGAGAAGAGAGGTATAGTATAGGAATTGTGAAGCAACAGGAACCAGAACTTGAAGATTTAGAAAATTCTCAGCCTAACCATATTGCCGAAAAGGGAGAAAGCATGTTCTGGAGCGAGCACCAGGTTGTGGCTGGAAAACCATGTGATAAAGAGATCACGGGTGCAACTCGTGGATTTAATCAGCCACCTAAGCAGAAACCAGACATGGAGAAGGGATTATTCCAGCAGACACACTGCCAGCTTTGACCAAAGGGGACAGAGACAGGACAAAATGAAGGAAGACTGTCAGACCTGTGGGATTCTGTGAACATGCATTATCCTTCAAGAAAAGGGAAGGATGACCCTGAGGTGATTCAGAGATAGGCAGGGCCTGGGGCCACCAAAGGCTTGGGGACAAGGCTCTCTCTCCTGACTTGCTGCCTGCTGCAAGCTGCTACCCGGTGCCTCAGGGGCAGGGTCCAGAGAGCAGAGCATTGAGCCAAAGAGGATTACTCCTGAGCCTTAAAGTCGAATGGAATTGGCCCTGCCAGGTTTTGGGGCCTGTCACTCTTTCCATCTTTCCTAATTTTCCCTTTCAGAATGAGAAAGTCTATCCTCCACCTGTTCCACCTCTTGATTTTGGAAGCACATAACTTGTGTGTTTCACAGATTCACAGGTGGAGAGGAATTATGCCTCAGGATGAATCATACCTCAAGTCACACCCATCCCTGATTTAGATAATATTAAGATTAAACTTTGAACTTAAAGGACACGATGGAATGGGTTAAGACTTTGGGGGCTGTTTGGAATGTATTTTGCATATGAGAAGGACATGAATTTCGGGGGTCTATAGGACAGAGCGTGTGGCAGCCCTAGCAAACTAATACATTCCCCCAGCTGGAAACAGCCCAAATATCCATTGATGGGAAAATGGATAAACAAATGGTAGTATAATCACGCATCGGAATACCACTCAGCAGTAGGAGGGAATTAACTACTAATACATATAACGATGTGAACCACTTTCAGAAACATTTTGCTGAGTAAAAGGAGACAGACACAAAAGAGTACATACCATACAAATGCATGCATGCGAAATTCCGGAACATGCAAAGTTAACCTACGGTGTCAGAAAGCAGATCTAGACCTAGGGGGCATTGAATGCAAGGTGGCATCAGGGTACTTTGTGAGGTGATGGAGATGTCTTGGAGCTTGACTGTGGTTGTAGTTACATGGGTGTATACATTTGTCAAATCTCACCAAACTGTAAACTTTAAAATGGGAGCATTTTATTCTATGTAAAATTTAACTCAATAATGTTGATTTTAAAAGAAAAATGGAATTAATTCAATACGGCTATAATAAGAAATGTGCATTCTCAGTTACAACATGTCAGCTAAAAAAGGACTAGAGTTTTAGGAAAATAAATGTAATCAAGATAAAAAACATCAAGGAGATGTTGAATAACCCCAAACGTGAAAGCACACCGTTTATATGTGTGAGAGATGTGAAAGCACACATCTATTTCATTTAGAGAACAGCTTAAATAAATAAATGGGATATGACAGAAAAAGGCAAATATTGAAGACAGAAAAAGAAGATGCAGCAACATACAAATGATATGAGTCCCTAGAGAAGGAACAGAATGAGTACTAAAAGCTATAATTTAAGAAAACTGTCCTGAAATAAAGACTTCGAACTACGTATTAAGAGAGAATATTGAATACCTAAAAATATCAATCCAGAATGCCGATACCAAAACATAGTCTAGTAAAATTGCAAGATTTTTAAAGAAAAAGAAACAATCCTTAGAGTAAAGAGAGCAAGTAACTTATAAGAGGCTATTATGTATATTTGGGGATAGAAACAATGAGTAATTATGGGTCATTCTAATTCTATCATCTCCTGTATCCTTGAGATTCTCAGTGTGAAAGAAAGAAAATACAGATATAATATAGAAGAGATTAAGTAAAAATCCTAAGGAACTGAATTTAGACTGGAAGCATCAGTACGAACTCATTAGGCATTTGATCTTAAAAGTTATGTACATGTGTCTGTCTATGTGGTATGTATCTTACTCTGTTCACTGAAAAGATCTAAAAACAGTAGCGAAGTAGTGGTCAGCACAGCCAGCACATAGACTGTGGTCTGTAAAACCATTTCCTACTAAATGGAGAAATGGCCGATGGCAGGTTTTGGGTTAGGACTGGTACAAGGGGAGCCTGGACCATCTTGTCATTACAGACAGTAAGAAGGACATCCAAGGCCACTAGGGGCAAGTTAAAAGGACTCAGGAGCCAACTTAAAAGAGTTTAGCCAAAGATGGGGCAATTTAAGCTTCAATGAGCAGAGTAAGTTGCAATGGATTGAAACCACCAGATAGGTTTAAATACTGGAGTTTATAATGATAGTAAAAAAAAAAAACTAATCCGTCACCTTTGGGAGACGACAGGGAACCAATTCATTGTCTTGAAAACTGGTAAATAAAAGGAAAAAATCCCAATCATTTCTCTTGTCTTGCCTATTTGAATAGTACCACTGGATATCAAATCCTAGATGAGAGGATTTTAAAATAACTTCAACTAACAAATGAAAATAATAATATAATTAGAATATCTGCCATTCTCACAGGAGTTTAAACAGTATGAAAGAGGAGGAAAGTATTTAATATGACAAAGAACCAGAGAATGGGCTTTGAGCAAAATACGCTGTCAGGGCTTCAGTCTCCCCATCTGCAAAGCGGAGTCCTGAACCCGTCCTCACGGGGCCACTGTGAGATTAAACACGCTCAGTGTGGACGCAGTGCCTGCCGCACAGCGAACGCTGGGTGCTTCCTGCCTCCTCATTCTACAGTTCTTGCTTCTGGAGGCTCTCCTGCAATCTGTCCTTGCCCGGGCCGGGCCCTGTCACTCACATCTGGATCCCACAGACGGAGGGATGTGACAGAACAGGAAGAGCACGAGCTTTGGGGTCAGACACCCTCGGGTTCCCCTTCTGGCTCCATGACCAGCTTTCTTGACAAGTCTTAGCACCTCTCTGAGCTCAATCTCCTCATCTCTAAAGCGGGGGAAATACGGTGCCTGCCTGGTGACATCGGGAGGAGGAAGTGAAATATTCATGCCGGCCCGCAGCACCTGGCACGGGGTGGGCGGCGGGGGGAGGGGTCCTGAGGACATGGTAGTTCCTCCCCCTCCCTGCTTCCCCCTCCTCACCAATCCCAGGTTAATCCTCCTGAGGACCTGCTTCTATCCCGACTGTCCTATGAAAGAACTTCCAGCGATTCCATCCATGTTCAAAGACGGTGCAGCTGCTTCCACTTGCAGACTCTGGATCAGCAGTGGCCGCCTGGGCTTCCAAGCTGAGCACCCCAAGGTTGTGTCCAGGCTCCACGGGGACAAGTGAGACCATCCAGCAACGCCTAATTCCCCAGGCTCGGCAGGAGTGGGCAACAGCTCCTCTGCCGCGTACTTGCCCTCACTGTTGGGCTGGGACAGCTCCCAGCCCCTCATGTGGCCACTCACGAATTCCATCCTGTGACCTGCACAGCTCCACCCCTGCCCCGCACCAATTTTTCTCAAAGATGCAGCCCGGTCCCCAACAGGCCGGTCACCTGTGCCCTGTTCTCCATTCAACAACATTCCCACCTCCAGGTCTTAATCAGAAGACCCTCTCTGAATGCCTGCCACATGCCACCTCACTGGCTGCGGCTGTCCTGGAGAAGGCCCTTTGGCTCCCACCCAAGTCTTCCCACCCACCAGCCTGGAGGTTCCCCCTACCTCTGGTAGGCCACAAAATAGGTCACATCCTCAGGGCTGCCAGGCCCCGGGAGCCACGTCAGGTACACGCTGAAGTTCTGGGAGAACAGTGTCACATTCTGGGGAGGGGCCAGACGGGGCCTCCCTGTGGGGGAGAAAGAGGTCATAAAGCCTGGGGCTCCTGGCTGGTCTCAACAGGGGACATTCTGAGCTGAGGGGTGGCATATAGGGCAGTCAGGTGCTCACGAGTTTGAGGAACCAGCAGACCCCTGCCCCTCCCATCTGTGCCCTCGGAGGAAGCTCCTGCACCTCAGGGTCCCAGCAGAACACCGTGGAACGGGGACCTTCTAACAGGCTCCTGCTCACCAGGAGGGAGCAGGGGCTCCGTCTTGTTCTCAGCCACATCCCCAGAGCCTGCCAGCAGTGGGTGCACTATACACATCTGTGGAGCAAATGAATGAATATTACGATAACTTGAATTGCTCCCAAGCCTCTTGACAGGTCTCCCTGCTTTCAGCCTGCGGAAGGGGAATGATACAGCAAAGGCTGCTGCCCTGGCGTTAGAAGCAGAACACCACACCCGAAAGGTCCAGGGGGGACCAGAGATGAGAACTTAAGGTCATCTCTCCTGCCTCTTTCCTGCTGCTTCCTTTAAAGGGACCATTCAGGCGTTTGCCTGGGAACTTAAAGTGACCCAAGCCCTAGTCCCTTACAAATACTGCCAGCTGTCACACTCTCACTTTCTCTTTGCCCTGCTCTTCATTCCTGCCTCGTGTGACCTGGGATAGAGGGCCGCTCTCTGACTCATCTCGCCCTCCCTGCCCAGGATCTGTAAGTAATAAATCTTTGAACTTGTTTCCTATTGTGGTGGTGAAATGAATTTGCACCTTCTATCTGAAGAACCAGGGGCCACAACAGGCCGGGCTCCCACTGCCACAGCGATGGTCAGGCAGGTATAAACGGGGCACAGGTCAGACAAGAGCCACAGAGCATGTGCCGGTATAAACAGGTTCCCCGTATGAGGGACTCCAGTCCCAGGTCAGGCGGTTAGGCATTAGGTTGTCTGCCAGGTAAAAGTAGCATCCCATGAAAGGCACATGTAAACACCCGTGCCCAGCTCCCCTGCATCTCCCGTCAGGCCGGGGGTGCTGGCCGCTCCGCTGCTGGCCCTCCAGTTTAGCTGGGGCTCTCCAAACATCTTGTCCAGTGTGGACAACCACTGTATCCACATGGGCAGGCATGTGTCTGTGGAAGTTCAGGTGGCATCTATAGTCTTTATTTCTTTTACAATTTCATTTTTGTATTTCTTTCAGATTTGTAAATGTATTTTTTCCTTAAAATTCATTTTAACTTGAAAGTATGTTTTTAATTCCCCCTGTTAATTAATGGGCTGTGTGCAGATATATATGGGTGTGTGTGTAAATGCTAATAATGTACTTGTACAGAATTTCATATTGGACTCAAGAGTAGTTAAAAAACAAATACGACATCTGCCGTATACATTCTGTTAGTGTAAGGGAGGATATTTCACAGCTTTACCTACTTTCTGCAGATTCAGCTAAACTCAGGTATTGCTGAGAAGAGTGTACTGACACAGAGTGCGTGTGTGCGTGTGTGTGTGTGTGTGCGCGCGCGTGCGTGTGTGTTTCAGCAAGGCCCATCACTTCAGAAAAGGAAATCCTGTCACTGGTATCTGGCGCCATTTTAATTTACCTTCATAGCCCCTTGAGGGGCGTAGATCAACCACTGTAAGCTCTATCTATATGTGGGTAAATAAGAACTAACATTATGTAACTTGACCAAATTTCTGCTGCTAGGAGTTGGAGAAGCCTAGTTTATATTCTAAATTCTTCTTTTGTAAAAAAATTTTTGTGGGTAGGGTTGGGTGGGTGGTCTTGAACTCCTGGCCTCAAGTGATCCTCGCATCTCAGGCACCTAAAATGCTGGGACTACAGGCATGAGCCACCTCACCAGGCCCTGTTTTTTTGTTTTCAGTTCTGCCCTAGATCATAACTGTTCAAAAATGATTACGTCGTAGTTTGTTACACTAAAATTCTCAGCCAAATGTTGGATGAAACGTCTGCACTGTAGTCTCAGATCACTGTCCCATTTCTAATTGCTTTTTCATCTTGATTTGCAGAAGAGATCGACAGCAGAAACACCAGTAAACAATTTTTATACTATTTAAAGGCTTTTTTCCCTTCTTAGAAAAACAAACACACAAGCAAAACATCTTGTCCTTGCAGTCCCTGATCCGCATGGCAGCAAGGGTTAGATGAGTCCCTCTTCTGCTTAAACCCTTGAAAGGCTTTCATCTCCATGTGGGTAAAGTCCACAGTCTTTACAATTGCCTTCAGGATCCTACTCAGTCCTACCCACGCTCTGCCCTTGCTCCCTCCCCTCCAGCCACATGGCCTCTTTGCTCTTCCTGGAGCGCCCCAGCCCGGCTCCCACCTCCAGCCTTTGCAGGCGCTGTTCCCCCTCTGCCTCACCAGTTCTCCCCCTGGATATCCACCTGGCTCATGCCTTTGCTGCTCTCACCACTCCTTTGATGTCGCTGTCTCAGGGACACTTTCCCTGACCACCTTTAACCGGCCTCTACTTCCTCTCCCTGACACACGCCTTCTCTCTGCTGACCCTCATCTCCTGAAACACATATCTGATTCCACCACTCCCCAGTTTCATGCCCTTCCCTTGCCCTCAGAATAAAGTCCACGCTCCTTATCCGGGTGTGTAAGGACCTATGTGACAAGGCCTGGCCAGGCCATCTTGCTGTTCTCTCCATAACGACACCCCCACAGGCTCACCAGGCTGCAACCAATTTTCCTTCCTGCTGTCCCAAACCACCGCATTCTTTGGATGTCTTTGAACCCAGGTGTCTTTGACTGCCTGGTGTTCACCATCTGATCTTTGAAAGACCTGATTCAAACGTCCCTTCCTCCAGGGAGTCTTCCTTGACATCTCTAAGAGGTGGTGATGATGGTAATATTAATACTGGCAGCTAATGTGCATTGTGTTCCAACTATGAGCCAGGCTGTGTGCTAAACACTTTTCCTGCATTTTCTTGTTTAGTCCTCGCCACACCTGTAGGAGGTGGGTTTAATTATGATCAGCACATTACAGATGGGAAAACAGAGACCCCTCTCAGCTAATGAGTTGTAGAACCAGATTCAAATCCAGACCTCGCCAACTCCAAAGTCTGAGCTCTTGACCATACTTTGTCCACTAGGTTCTCATGGGGCCTGTTCAGTTTATTATTTCAACATCTATTGACCACTGTTAATCAACAACATCTGCTGATCACTCTGTGCCAGGAGTTTCAAAGAGGAATACAGCTTCATTCCTGCCCTAGGACCTCATGGCCCCATGGAGAAGTCAGTGCCCTGAAGTGTCACATAGGCCATGAGGGAAATCCACACAAGCTGTAGAATGGCATCAGGGAGCGGGGACCCAGTTCTACTGATGGCTGTCGACAGCCTGGGCTGCCTATCCCTGACCTTTTACACCCAAATGTGGGTGCCCACTTGCGCCTCCCCCCCATCCTGTGTCCTCTATCTGGGACTGGATCACCATGATGCTGGTGCTGTTACTGCTCCAGCTTCTGGACTTCCTAGCAGAAGACTGGCAGGAGGCCACTCTGTCTGCAAGCAGCTTGTAAGGTATCTTATGGGCAGGACAGTCCCAAAGTTTGAGCTTGGCTACACCGCAAAAACAGCAGCTAGAGTAGCTACCCTCTATTGAGTCTTTCAAAGATGCCAGGCACTGGTTTGGCTCTTCATATGCAAAACCTCACTCAATCCTCAGGACAAACCACCCTAGGGGGTAGGTATCATTCTTTCCCCTTCTGTGGGACGGGACACTAGGCTCAGAGACAGAGTAATTAGCCTGAGGCTACACAGCCAGTTTGTGTCAGAGCCAGGATTTGAACCTGAACCTGGCTATTCTTCACCGTAAACCATCATACCAGTTTGTCGTGTACATTAAATATTTCTCACGTGAAAGTATAGCCAGGTCCAGGCAGGCAAATTATTGAGTTTGACAGTGAAACAGCGGACAGAGGACCCATTCCCGCACCCTCCCCACTCTCACAGGTACGCTGTCCCTCCTCATCAGCTGCAAAAACATTCACTGCACAGGGGGCTGGGCATCTCTGGGCTGGCCTAGTGACCTAGTGCTGGACAGACAGCATGCTCCCGCTGCCCACCCCAGAGGCCAAGGCTGACCAGGCTCGCTTCAGCCTCAGCCTCCTGTGTTCTGTGTGTCTCGCCTTTGCTGTCCTTCTTGGGCAATTCCCTTAATTGCTCCGAGCCTCAGGTTCCCCATCTGAAAAGGCAGAATACTATCTACCTCATAGGACAGTCTGGGTGTGAGGCTTAAATAAGATAACGTGGTGCCCAGCACAAAGAAGTTGCTCAATAAATGTTGGCTTTTTTGATTATTAGATTATGTCCAAAGACCTTTCCAGCTCTTTAAACTGTGAGTCTAAGACTAGGAAGACATCCTGGGGGCAATTTCGGGATCTCCTCCCCGGATTGGCTGGAGCCGTGGAAGCTGGGGTTTGGTGATTGGGTCCTATCCCGAGGTATGTGGTACCCTGCCACCGTGTTCGCCAAAAGAGGCCCAGAAAAAAACCCCAGTCTTGCTAGAATACCACCGCAGGGCACAGTCTGAGCCAGACTCCATCCCCCGGGCCTGCGGAGAAGGGGAGGGGGCCTCGGGGAGCGCGGGCCCATCCGTCCCACTCGCCCTACTGCCCACCTTGGAGAGCAGCGCTTTAGGAAACCTTAAACAGCACTTTATAGAGAAACGCAGCTGCTTTCTAAACTGCTGCCGTCTTTTTTCCAGTTCACCTGAAGCTTGACCTGAATTAGGACACTGGATTGGTTTCCTGCCGGGAGACGAATTTCAAAGACGCGGGCCTGTTTACTCGCGGGACGCAGCACACCGGCGCCAGGTGGCCCACGTTCCCCTCCCGGAGCTCGGGTCGGTCGGAGGGTGGGAGCGGCCCGGCCCGGGCGGCCCCGCGGCCCCTCGCCCTCCCGCGGCCCGCGCGCTTACCTGGAGCGGCCTGCAGCAGGCACAGGAGCAGGGGGGCCCAGCGCCCGGGCCCCGCCATCTCGCCCCGGGGCGGCGGCCACCGCCCCTGGCCACAGCCGCGGCCCCTGGCCCCGGGCCCGCCTCCGTCCCACCGGCGGCAGGTGACGTGCCCGGCAGCCAATGGGAGGCCGAGCCGCGGGCCCGCCCCCGCTGTCACCGACTCTCCGGGGCGTCCCCTGGGGCCGCCCCGAGCAGGGCGAGGCTCCCCATCGCCTCTGCTCTGTTTTGTTTCACCCCCAATTCCGGGAAAAAGAAAATCAGTAAATCCGCGTATGAGAGGAGGACTGGAGAGGAAGACTGTGTATTGTGAATAACCACAGTTAGGCGTTCCGATGTGGGACTTCTCAGCAGGACTCCGAGGAGTTCAAGGCCAGTTTAACAGTCTCAGATGCCACCCGCGGCATCCGCGCCGGCGTCAGCCTAGCGCTTTGCACGCGCTGTCTGCTTTAATCCCCGCGGGACCCGCGGGGCAGTGCTGCCACCCTCTGCACACGGCCCCGGGGAGTAGCAGGCTCCAGAGCTTAGCGCGCTTGTTCTGGGGGAAGCTGTCTCCCCCGGGCAGCCTGTGGTGTTGACCAGAACAGTAATAGCTTCCAAGAAAGCCACAAGCCACACAGAATATTCTGCATCAGTTAAAAGGATGTTGCTGAAGGATACGTATCCACACAGATGTTTGCGGTGACTGAGAAGCAGAAAGACAAATACTAAAATACGGACCCATTTAAAAAGTGTGTGCGTTTGCCTGTGTGCACAGACAGATTTGGAAGGATACCTACCAATACATATAATATTAATGTAAATGTTTTTTATCTCTGGGTGACGAGAATTTGTTCCTTCCTTCCTTCCTTCCTTCCTTCCTTTCGAGACAGAGTCTTGCTCTGTCACCTGGGCTAGAGTGCAGTGATGTCAGCCTGGCTCACAGCAACTTCAAACTCCTGGGCTCAAGCTATCCTCCTGCCTCAGCCTCCCAAGTAGCTGGGACTATAAGCACATGTCACCACACCCAGCTAATTTCTCTCTATTTTCAGTAGAGATGGGGTCTCACTCTTGCTCAGGCTGGTCTAGAACTCCTGACCTCAAGCCATCCTCCCACCTTGGCCTCCTGGAGAACTAGGATTACAGGTGTGAGCCACCATGCCCGGCCTGAATTCCTTTTAAAGCTTCTTCTTTCTGATCATGTTTAGGTTCCAAGCTTTTCAATAATTAATTGAAATTGGGATCAGCTTGGATCCCACCATTTCTCAGGAGAGAGAAAATGCATTTCACAGAGCTTGGTGGATCCCCAAGTTGCTCTGAGTTTGGCCACGGGGCAGACATTTGGGAATTTCAGAATGGCTCTGGGATTTGCATCATGACTTCAGCCCAATTAGCACTTCTTAACAGAGCCGTGCTCACAGGTCTGTGTCCTGGACTTCAAAGGCATACCAGATGCCTCAGCAGAGAAGCACCCTTCAGTATCTTGGGATCTCCTCTGAAATGCTGACTTCATCTCCATGGAGCAACTACAGCTCTTTCAGACCCAGAATCCAACTGGATTTGGAGCAGGTTCAACAGTGGGGACAAAAGTGTCTTCGTCTGCCACCTGTTCCACCCATTGGCTATGCATCTGAATCTGGCACCTGCTCTTTTTGACAAAACCTGCCACGTTTGTTCTCCCCTGCCGCCCCCTTTCCCCACTCCATAATTTCAAGTTAGGAAGTTGTGTGTTCAGATGCCTTGATTCTTGAGAGGACATTTTTGTAACCACAAGCTCGGGCAAGTCGGATCTCTCAAAATCTTTTTGAAAAGTCATCTATAGATGCAGGTCAGAAAATCTTAGCCAGTTACCATGACCTAGCCTCTATCTAGATCCTCAGATATCTTTTAGATATCTCAAATACTGATAATAAAGCCATTCTGGAATAAAATAAATCTATCTCTGTTGATGCTTCTTTATTGAAAGCAGCCAATGGCACTAATATTTATTGAGTCCTTGTACAGTGGCACTGCAGCTTACGTATATTACAGTGTTTAATCTTCACAACAGCCCCATGAGGTGGATATTATTAATATCCCCTTTTAACAGATGAAACTCAAGAGAGGTTACATTGCTTACTTAGGTCACACAGCTAATTATAGTGACAGCTTGGGGATTTGGACCTCAGTCTGTCCTCAAAACTCGTGGTTTTAAAACTTCTGCTACCCAGCCTCCAGATGCTTAAGGACAAACGAATGTAAACTTCCCCAGTCTCGGTCACTTCCCGATTTGCAAAGATCACAGCACTGAACTCTCCTGAGTGGAATGGTAGGTGCTGGAGAACTGGCCTCCTCTTTGGGTTGGAAGGTGAGGTAGAAGCACTGGTGCTGATAAATGTTTAACCACTGCTGGAGGTTGGTTGGGGGTGGCGGAAGCCCTGCTTTGTTGGGTTTGCCAACCTCCATGGTGTGAATACCCCATAGTGGGTCACTTTAACTTAGCAATGCGAGGCCACCGAACATAGAGTTGGGAAGAAATGTGCACAATCGGCTCCGAGCATGTACGAGCTGGCACCAGCACACCACTGGGTGGAAGAAGCCCATTCCCGTCACTGTTAGAGGAGCCCACATCTGTGGCACCATAACTGAGCGTTTCCATGATTAGAACAACTCACATCCCAAGCCCCAAAGGCCGATAAGGCTCACGTTAAAAGTGTCCAGTCCACAGTATGAAGTGCATGGTCTCCTATGAGCAGTCAAAGGCTTTTACAACCTTTTGAAGCTCCACTCCAGTTCTCTGTGCCCAGCCACACAGTGTCCTGCAGGTCCCCTTCTTTCTCTCACCCCCTGGCCTTTGCAAATACTGGTCCCTGTGCAGGGAATTCCCCTCCCAGGCTTATCTTCCCTGGGTCTTCTAGCAGCTTCTCTTCTTGCTTCCATTCTCAGTTTGTATATCACTTCCTCGGAGGGTCTTTCTTAACCCCAGACTTTGATTTGCTCCCATTCCCCACGCATATCTCTGACTTAGTCTGTTTTGTGCTATTATAGCAGAATATCACAGACTGGATAATTTATAACAAACAGAAATTTATCTCTCACAATTCTGGAAGCTGGGAAATTCAAGATCAGGGTGGCAGCCGGTGAGGGCCCTGTCTCTCTGCTTCTAAGATGACATGCTGCTCCTCTGAAGGGAGGAAAGCCATATTCTTGCATGACAGAAGGGTAGAAGACAGTCTATTCCTGCAAGCCCTTTTTATAACGACATTGATCCACTCATCGGGGCAGAACCCTTGCGACCTAGACACCTCCCATTAGGCCACACCTCCCAACAAGTTCCCAACACGTGAATTTTGGGGGACATATTCAAATCATAGCAGTCTCTTTGGTAGTACTTAATCACAATTTCATAGAAATATTTTTTGTGCATTTAATATCTTCTTCTTGGATACAACCTCAAAGACTCACTCAGGGCCTGGCACATCATAGGGCTCAATGAAAAGTGAGTGAGCAAACCTTCACTGTCCTGGGCTCAGACAATTGCACATGCCCCAAACAACTCAGCCCCACCCCTGGCTCTTAGCTGCCACAGGGTAGCCACTCGCCAAATGTCTACTGAGTTGAACTTGGCATGTGACTCATACTTAAAAGACCTCAATATCTCTTCTGAAAGTTTGACCTCACAGTCACACTTCCCTCCATATCTGGCATTTTACAGTCCTCCACTGACCTCAAGAATAATGTTTAAGAATAACGTGTAACAGGGTAAACAAAACCACATTACCCACATGCGTGAGTGAGGGACTCGCATAAAAGCCCCTGAAGAGCAATGAAGGTGAAGGCTGGTGCACTCAGCGGCCCAGGTGGGATCCTGAGGCCTCTCCACTCTGCTGAGGGCGCACCACTGGCCTGGCCCATCTCGTCCCCTGCCCCAGGAAGACGGAGCACGGGCACGCGTGCTAGGACCCGAAAAATGGTGAATTATGCCTGGGCAGGGCGAAGCCAGAGAAAATTCCAGTGGAGGTCTGCAGCAGTTCTGATGTGCAAATGGTAGTCTGACCTGCATATGTGGGGAAAACCTAATGGAACCATCTAGTAGCTGGTTCCCTCCAAAGTTTCCCTCAGGGTAGCTAGGTCTCTTGTATATGACCCACCCCCACCCCCACGCAGTTTTATCTGGTAGAGCAAGTGATTAACAGTCTTGGTGCTGAAACAATCTCAACCTAGTCTCCAACTTTAAATGGGTAAGAAGCCTGGCTTGCTGGCATGGAAATGGGCGTGGATTGCGAGTGCCTAGTGGGCCACTCTGGGTAGGCAGAACTGGCGCTGCCAGGGGAAGGTGCCCGATGCCTGTGCTCACCAGACCCCAGGAAAGGGGTTGGTGGATACAGACAGCGGATGGTGGCCCTGGACGTTGGATCAGCTAAGGAGTGTGTAGCAACTCGCCTGCCTAATAAATACAATAAATTTAAAAAGAAAAAGGTTGAAACAAAACACACTCTCCGTCCCCAGAACCTCACATTACTGTGTGAGGATTCACAGCCTCTCCTGTTGCTTACTAAGAGGGTTATGCCTGGGCCGGCAAAGGGGCGAGTGGGGTTGGGTTGATGGACATTGGAAAGGGCAGGAGAGCAGGCAAAACGTCAGAGCCAACCCGGGCTGGATTTGAAAGGAGAGTTTCGGGGCATTTGGCGAAGAGAGGGGCAAGCGTAGGGCCAGCTGCCCTGAATGTGAGATGAATACGAGACGTGTGAGGAGAGAGGAGAGACCGCAAAACATTTTTCTCTATGCTAGGACTGAAATCTCATTTGGCATTTTTTTCTTCAAGAGACTAAAGATTTTAAACGGTTTTAAACTATGGTTGTTTTGACTATTGCTTTCTTGCTGTTGTTTTAATGTAATGCTGGAGGGAGGCAGGGCCCAGTACAAGAACAACAAGGCCCATTTTTAGGTGGGAGTATTGTCTTTATCAGTTGGTTTTTTTTTTAGAAAAACAAGTTTATTTCTTTTTCTTTATTTCCCTTTATTTCTTTTTTCAATTACATATATATATATAACATTTTAACT